ATGTAAAACCCTTAACCCTTAGTTTTAGTACCTCAATCAACTTCCATTAACTCTATTTGAGTTAATGGATTTAGATTCATAACTTATATGGACCAAAAACCATGCCCCTTAATAAACCCTATCTTAGAAATTTTTAAAAACTAAAAGAGAAATGAAGATTGATGCTATGGAAGCTTACCCTTAATGTTTAGAAGCCTTATTTTACTCCTAATACTTCTAAATTTTGAGCCTTACCAAGGCTCCCTTTATTCTCCTCTCCTCCTTATTCTAGTTTTTTCTATTTTCTTTCCTTTTCTACACTAGAAGTCTTGAACGTGCAAATGATGAATTAAATTTTTCGACAATGGGCCATGGTGCATACAAGTTGCACTGTGATGTGTGGCATAATTTTAGCCATGCACTGCGGTATGTGTTAATCACGCCACAGTGTGTGGCATCAAGTGCCTCATCCACACCATTTAGTGATCGTGTTGACGATACAAATCAACTCTCCCTCCCTTTCTTAATTTATTGCGCCATAATGGACCATGCACATGCCACGGCTTGTGGCATAAACTCTTACTTCACATTTTCTCTCTCGTTTAGGCCTATGTACCAAATTCAGTCCCAGATCCCTTCCCACAACTATACCCAAGCCCTAAAGGTCCCTTAATCCTCCTCAAACCTGCTTTAACTCAATTTTACTTAATCAAATTCGATTATTAATTTAATTAGCTAAAAGGTTAAAATTTGGAATGTTACACTCTTTAGGTCCCATCATCTTATTGCGTTCCTTGGAATTCATTGCTTCTATGCCTAGAGGTCCTTTTGCATCTAATGTTGTTGTTGTTGCAATTGGAGGGGAGAAGAAGAATGAAGAAGACAATGCTATGTAGTTGGTCAAAACGAGGTTTGACTAAGCCAAGTCAAATTTTCATGGGCCCCATACCTTGATAAATCATTAAATAATGAGAGAACAAACAGCCATTTGCCATGAGGGGATTTTTGCTTCCTTAAAAAAAGTTCAAGAAGAATTTTACTCTACTTAAGAGTGTAAGAGACTTAGTGCTCATCAAAAAAGAGTACATGTACAAAATTGAACCTTAACTCTAAATTATTTGGTAGAATGTCACTCCAATGTTTATACTTGATTTTGTTTTCTTTTTGGCATGACTTGATTGTATTTTATTTTTAGTTTCTATAATCTATTTTCGTAATTTTTATCTCTTTTGTTTAATTTGTTTAAAACATTAATATATATATATTTAAAAAAAGAATAAGGCTTAGGAATTGCCTGTATACTTAATATATATTTATTCAATAGGCAAGTTGATTTTAATGTATTGATAATATTTTTTATCTAAAATATTAATAATAAGATTTTTTTATAGAATAAATAATTTATAAAAAATTTACATGTTTAAATTTAATTTGAAACAAGGTCCTTAAATATATAAAGTTAATTATATAATTTTATCTCAAATTTTAAAATATTAAGAAAGACTATTAACTAGTCCAAGGGGATTTAACACCTTTAAACCCATCACATGTTTGGTGAGGCACGTGAAGCTAAAAAAATTTTAAAATTGCATAATTAAAAATTTGGTCTAATTATTAATGAGAGTTAGATTTAGTGAAAAGGAAAAAGTTCCTCACATGATGGAACCAATATTTAAATTTTTATTAAAAAATATTTCAATTTAATATTCGACAACGTTTAGAATAAAATTATTGTAAAAGAAGAACAGGACACAGGACCTTAAAAAAATTATTACAGTTCTAGTGAGTTTGTGATCCTTTCCAGCATTTTCAAATTAAATGACTAATTGACTCACATAAAACAAATAAAAGGGATAGAAAATCAGAAAAATAAATTATCTTGACTAAATCATTTAATCTCCCATGCTTAACTTTTTTTTCCCATGAAATCAAAACAAGTAAATTTTAGTATTAAAAAATATTAGTAATAAGAGTTTGTTGTGACTAAATAATTTATTAAAAAAATTCACATATTTTAATTTATTTAAAAATAAACACTTCAAATATATCATTTTAAGTATATAAATTTTTTTTCCCTTCAAAAACTAATAAAGTAGGAGTATAGAGTTTTCCCTTACATTTGTACTCATTGAAAATGTAACATCCCAATTTAAATTTTAATAGTTAATTTGGGTTAATAAAAATTTTGAAAAATATTTAGAGGTAAATAAATTAGTAGGAAATGATCATTAAATCTAACTTAGGATATAATTCTAAATTAAAATTTTAAAAAAAATTAATTAAAAAAAGAAGAGAAGAAGAAAAAGAGAAATTACTTTCAACAGTCGCATGCATCAATAGTTATATAAAATAATAAAAAAAAGAGAAGAAGAGAGAGGAAAGAAGAAATAATAAAAAAAAATGTGTGGGACTCACTAAATTTTTATAAAAACTCACCTGTTTCCTTTCATTTCTTCAATTCTTTTCCTGCGCGCGAGCTAAGGCGGAGAGAAGCGAGTCGCCGGTGTAAAATATTTAAATTTTTAAGGTAAGAGTTTTTAATAGAATATTTAGGTTGTGATTTTAAGCTTTTTAAGACTAAGTAAGTGTTCTAAAATTTTTTCTTAGTCATCCTTCTTCTTTGGTTTTTGAGTTTGTAGTGGTAGAAAATTTAAGATCTGGAAGAGGGATGAATTTATGTTGAATAAATATGATTTTTGAGGTTGTCAGTAGTATAATAAATGTTCTAGAGTATAAATTTGTTGATAATCTTTGAATTTGTGGCTTATGAATCAAATTCTAAACTAGATATGAAAATATATGTTGATTTATTGAGGTTTAGATGATTATTTAAGATGAGAAATGAATTATTATGGTTATAGGATTATGATTCTAAGCTAGAGACTCAATTTTTAATTTTAGGTATTTTAGGTACGAATTTATGAAATAAAAAGAAAATTTTGATAATAGAAATTAGTTTAGAAGTTGATTTTTAGATTATTAATGTTTATTGATAATTAAAAGAGGAGTTAAAAAATTTTACTTAATAGTATTAACTCTAGATTTGTATTAAGATTGAGATTAAAAATTATGTTATATTTTTAATTATATTACTAGAATTATTTTATTAGTTTCAAAAATTGAAATTAATACTTATAAATAATATATTATTTGTAGATTGTATTACTGGTGAAGATTGTGGTGAGAGAAAAATTTTAAGGAATAATTTATTGAAAAAGCCATAAGGTAACCATGCTTTTAATTTGTGATTAGTGTTACTTCATGTTAATTGGGTGATTATTGAGAAAATTATGAATTTTGTAATATTGTATAATTGTGCAATATTATTATGAATTTGTTTGATTATTGTGGGAGGTGTTGGGAGACTCGCTATTGTTGTTGTATTTATGTGCCACGTGGTACGTCCCTATTGGAGTTTAATAGGTGGTTTGTAAGGGCTTGGGCTAATCTACCTTTAGCCGGGTAATTTAGCACCGAGTGAGGGTTACGGCTCGAGGTTAATGGAGGGATATAAGGATGGTTGTTTGTGTGTATTGTAAAATTTCTTATATTTGTTGGAATTATATTATTTTTAATTCTTACTTAGTAAGCACACACTTAACTGTTTGTATACACTATCATAAATTGACTTTGGTTACTGGGACTTTTGAGTCTCATTATGTGGTTAATAATTTTCAGGAGAAGAGCTACGAGTGACACGTGGAAGAGTCCCAGAGGCTTAGTGGTATAGATCCACTGTCTCTTTTGGGTATTTAATTTATGATTTATAATGTGTTATATTGTCAATATTAGAGCTTTTTATTTATTGTCAATTATATAAATATATAAATGTAATCATGCCTTTCAAACTATTTCTATTTTTAGTACAATTTGGATGACTGTAATTTTAATATTTGATTTATTTTAGATTGGTTAAAATGGCATGATTATAATGTCAAATAACTGGCTTTTGTTGAAAATTGACTAAATTGCTTATTTTACTTGTTGGGAGTATAAGGATGGACAAATGTAATTTAGTTTACTTGTTGGGAGTATAAGGATGAACAAATGTGATTAATGGCATGTGGGAGGTAACAATTTATCCGAAATGTTATAGTGTGTGAGTTGAAACTAATTATAAAATATTTTATATTATAATTATTGATATAAAAATGTGTTGGGTGGCTGTAACCCAACTATAATTGAGTTAAATTATTAAAAAAAAATTTGATGTGTTATAGAAAACAACATATTAAATTTTAATTTTATCATCTCGAATAAACTGAGTGTCGGCAAAAGAATAATAAAATAAATAAATTGCGTGACGCACTGATGCCTTTAACTTCCGGCTCATGCTTATAGCACAGACAATAAGCTTAAAAAAAAAAAAACAAAAGAAAACAATTTTAAAAGCGCTCCCTCATTTTTGTGTTGGACCAAAAATATGTAATAGTTTATTTTATTTGATGATTATTTGATTATTGATTGATTGATTTTTTTTGGATCAACAGATTTATTGATCATCGATGATTTATTGATTATTGACATTAATGATTGGTTGACGAAGTTTTTGTTTTTGTGAGAATGTTTGGTGGGCTTTTTTATACAACATACAACAAATAATAAAAAATAAAAATGTATTATGAAAAATATTTACCTAAATATCACACCCAAAATTGTTTAGACTCTAGATAAGTTTATATTTATAAAGAATTTGCTTAGATCAAGAATAATTTTATAATCAAAAATTAATTTTTTAATGAAAAGTGAAAATTCACTTAATCAATGAGTTTAAATTTTCTTTTTGATTAACAGGTATAATATTCATTGTAAATGTGAATGGCAATCTCTTGCTTTCCCTTTCCTACTACTCTACTTATAATATTTCTGCATGATTCATTTGTCAAATTCCTACCAATATACATTTTCCATGTCATCACGTGAAGCTTGTAGACAATAGGTTATATGATTGTTTCAAAGCATAATGCCACTTTTGCTTGCTTCATTTGCTCTTCTGGACCTCTCTTTCTTTTTTCTCTTGTTCAAATTTTTGTTTTCCTCTTTCATCTTTCTGTTCCAATTGATGATGTTAGCATTGGTTTGAAGTGTATTTTTTTTCTCTTTATCTAGCTGAAAAACTTATTTTATATTTGATTTAGGCACATTGTTTTTAATATAATTTTTTTTTCCAATTTTTATAATTTGCCTCCTGTGTTCTTTTTTACCTTCGATGCCTTAAGACCTCCCTGTTGACGTCGCCGGCGACGGAGTAAACAATCGAACCGAGAAGACGGCGGTGTGAAGTCACAGCGGAGAATAAGACGACAATGTTGGTGAGGAGTCGTGGAAGTGACGACATCTGATGGCTGCTCTGTTACTCCATCCATCGCAGCCTTCTTCATCTTTTCTCCTGGAAATCTTTCATACATGGATTTATTTAATGATTCAGATTTTGATTGGACTTTTTGAATGGTATATTTGTTTATAATATCTAATTATGTGTTTTTGATTTGAATATCTCATGAATTTCATTTCAGGAAGTGATGGAGGAGAGGAGAGGACGAAGGTGAGAGGGGATGGTGATTTGGTATTTTGCTATTATACTTTTATAGGTAACTATCTTTTATTATTATACCAAACATCGTTTTAAAATCCATTTCCACTTCCTCGTATTTCCACTTCCATTCCTTTGAAATTCATTCCGCTTACCAAACAAGGCCTAATTACCTAACCCAAACCCCAGCGACGCATCGAATCTGAAAATCATAAAAAATGCGATCTCTAAGCAAACATCAGAAGAAATCAAATAGAATAGAGAAGATAAGGACAAGGAACCGACCGAGTATCTCTCCTATTCCATTATATCCTCCAACTCACTTGCAGCTGGAGATAAGAAAAGCAATGCAAGTTCTATAGCTTTTACCTTTTCTTCTTCCTGCACAGTGAGGGGTATAGGACTTATTCCTTTATTATACTTTGGCTTTGACTGGAGGAAGGGGCTGTTTTATTGCGTTTCTGATTTCAAGTAATTGTAATTGTTAAATTTTGAAACATTGATGTTGGAATTTTGTTTTGTGGAGGTCAAGATTTTGTGCCAATTTATGTTGTGTTTGTTCTGCAATTCTCAATTGTTGCTTTGATTTTTTGTGTTTGCCAATTAGAGAAGTAATTAGGGAAGAAATTATGCCCTTATGAATTTGTTTTGGAGACGCAACATTACTCTCTTATTTTGCTAGATTTTGAGACTGTTTGTTGTGAATAAGGACCGATGATTTTTCGCATAAGCGGTAGCAATTTTTATGGCTATTGAGTAGATGAGATTGATACTTGATATCCCTTTAATACCCATGAAATATAGTCTGGTGCAAAATTCCCTTTTAAGGTCATGACTGTTATCACTTGATTCAAGGGTGAAATTTGGTGCCATTTAGCTCTAGGTTCTTTCAAGAAATGTTGGCCGCCAACCAAAAGGAATTTAGACATTGCTTATTGCTTAAGTCCTTGTTCCCACTTATGTTGGTCCTGAAATACCTCATGAGGATTCTGTTGCTATCCCAAAAGAGTGGGATGAAGAACATGGCTAGAAGTAGAGTTTTATGATCTTATGGGAAGTCACTAGATAAAATCTTGATCTGGGATTTTGACCACATTTCACTGGTTTTGAAGTGTTCTGACTCATTAAAATTTTGATGGATCGACTATGATATGGGTGTGAAAGATGCTTGTGTATATGTTCCTGTTTTTTAAGTTAAATTGACATTGAGACAATGCTTCATAGTTGATTGACATAAGTGGGTGCTATTTTTAGCTGGTTTTTTGGTTTTTGATTGGTTTACTTAAAAATCAAGTTTGGTCAATGTTCCAGATTGGGACAGGCACTAGTATACTGGTATCTGGGTCAAACTAGATGGTCCAATCTAGTTTTTGTTACATTGATTGTAGCACAAGTTTTAGAGAAATCTGAGAGGCTTTGATACCATAGCAATGTCTTGAATTATCGTGCTTTGAGATGGAATCTATGTATGCAAGTGACGCTACTCTAGGAGAGAACTACAAACAAGGACATAAGGGACTAATGAAATGACTATCATACTGACGTGGCTAAATGAATTATACACACACACTGTCTCTGACAATATAATTTTGTAAGCATCTATCCCTAGAACTTCTCCTAACAATTGTATTTTCTTGTCAGCAATAATGGAAGACAATACACACGTGAAGGGAGACAAACTCATACTGAGGGGATTGATATTCCATGGTTTTCATGGCGTTAAAGCAGAAGAAAGGAAGCTGGGTCAGAAATTTCTGGTAGATGTGGATGCTTGGATGGATCTCAGAGCAGCCGGTAAATCTGATAATTTGTCAGATACAGTTAGTTACACAGATATTTATCGGTAAGCAATAAGTTTAAGCTCTTCATTTATGTTTTCCACAAATTTGACCCATCCGGTCCTGGTATTAGGTGTCAATATTTTGCTTCTGATTTTCATAAATTTATCTGTGGTCTATGGATATGGGTTTAAAATATTTTATGATGTTTTGGCCCAAAAAAATATATGTAAGGATGTATAAATTATCAGTGATGCTCTTGACTTGAGTATCAGAGCACTTTTTTGGTCCCAAAATCAATATAAAATATAAGGTACCGATGGAACTATATTATTTGAGTCATGAACTGTACAATTCTTCTTTGAAAGGTGAAGCTATCTAAATTTGTATGATATTTTATTGAATGATGCATCAAATGAGTATTTAGTTTCTAGTAATGATTTCTCTGAAAAAGAAGAAACTTTGCAGATATACATCACCATCATTTTAATCAAAGCCACCATTCAAGCTTTTCTGTTTCTGCGGCTCTATCTGCTTCACTCAGAATAGACATATAGAGCAAGTGCAGATGATATTGATCATGATAAATATCCAAGTCTCACCCACACTCAGAATAATGAAAGGATTTGGATTTTGATAGTTTTACAGTTATTTCTCTTGTCTACTGTTGGAGATTTATTGGTAGTGCCATTCTGCTCGTCCTCCTTGATCACTTTCATACGTGACTTAGTAAAGAAAACAGATTAGTAAAATGGTTAGAGTTGTTGTAATGAATACCGTGGAATAAAATGAGCATTGGAACAAATCTCAAGACCGATGGGGAGAGCAAAAGATGGTTGAAAAGTGAGACATAAATTCCTCCATAAGACATGTTATCTTTTAAGCATTATCACACAAGGCTTGTGTCATGAGTCCCGTATCGGGAGGCCACATTAGTAAAGTGTGATTTATAAGTCAGCTGGATACTCTCTTTCTACGAGGCGCCTTTTGAAAGTAAGTTCTACCTAGAGGGCTTGTGGTTGTGACCATGCCACCCTGTCGAGAGTCGATGTTTCCGATGGCTCCACTCCATAGTACTTCACTCAGCGTTCTATCGGTCAGAGTCCTCCATGGGTGGCCCTCTTTGTGACACCATCTTAATGAAATCACCAATGTAACGAGCATACGTTTAAAGGGAGAGCCGATTCCAAAAGACTAACCTATTAAGAGAGAAAATCCCTTGAACTTATAAATCCCACACCACTTGTGAGGCTCCCTGATATGGGACCCGTGATGTCTTGCTCCCCTTAGGGGGGTCGGGTGTGCATTTTAGCATGTATTATGGGTTTTTTGTGAAAAGCTCAGTGATGACGGGAACTTATCTGACTAAATGATGTTAATTCAATGCTAGAAGCAGCATCACCTCTCTTGACCCATCAATGCAAATCTTCTCTGTCTTTTTTATTCAATGTGGAGTGAGAGAACCGCTGTTTTTGAGTGCTTTTAGACGGGTCTTGGTGGAAAATAAGAGATGAAGCTAAGCCTAACAGAGAGAGGGCTACATATTCAGTTTCATATGGCTGGAGTTACCAGTTACCAGAAGTGACGAGCTCTGAGCATCATTGTGCTAAGATACAAGATCATAATAACCTCAATTAGAATCCAATTTAGCAAGGTACAAACAGAGAGAGAAGAGAAAAAAGGGTGAATATAGACTGGTATGCAGACTTGGAAGTGGTTTATAAAATGTCACTTCAGTGTGCCGCGTCATAATTAATGGCAAGAGAGTAAAATGGTATACTGCTTTGCAAACATTTTTAAGGCTTATTGTTGGTCTGTTTGAAACAAAAGTTACTTTTAGAATCGATATAAAATATTAAATATACTTTGAGGACCAGAATAGGATTTTAATCCCCTGAGCAAGTGTTATGTAATTAATATTATGTAAGTGCCTTTAACAAGAACCATTTGTGCTGGTGCAGTATAGCGAAAGAAGTTATGGAGGGGCCACCTCACAATCTTCTGGAATCAGCAGCTGAACAAATTGCAACCAATATTCTGACAAAGATCCCTCAGATATCCGCTGTTTGCGTGAAAGTGGGGAAGCCTCATGTGGCAGTTCAGGGCCCTGTTGATTACTTAGGTGTTGAGATCTTTAGACGCAGAAGCGATGCACTAAACTAAGACATCAAATACTCTTTGAGGTTCTGTATCATTGGGGTTTTCTGCTTAATGAAACACTTTATTTTCAACTCTTATCAATCTTCTCTAATATTTCCCTTTGCCTCGTTGCCAATCATGAAACCCAGGTTTGAACTGCTAATATTTTCTTTTTCCCCAATAGTGCGTGGCCTTGAAGGCTTTGTAGATTGCTTTTGTTGCTTTGGCTGTAGTGAACTGAGATACCTGTGTCCTTTTGCTCTCTTGTTTTCCACTCTTCTTGATATCAACGAAGGTATTTCTGGCCGGAAAAAAAAAAAAAAGAGAAGATATCAACAGAGGTAGACAGGAGAGACATTATTATTACATCGTCAAAACTAGCATGCTATGATAAGTGCTGCATGAAAGTTTAGACGATGTAGAGAGTCTTGGGTGCAGATGAAATTGGCAGAAATTCCTGAATCACGTTGAACGAAGCTTTCTCGTTTGCTGTTTCATCTGGCTGTTCTATTAGATTTCAAAAAATCACTAGCTGATTGATTGATTTATCTACACAATTGTTGGACGAACAAACGCATGCTCTATACCTTTACCCCCTTCTGAATCTATTTTGCAAGGGAGGAGGAAGGTTGAGGAACGTGCGGGTATATGTAAGTGGAGTAGAGTAGGTAATTTAGACAGGTTTAGTTTATTCAGATTGAGTTTAAAGTATCATATTCTTTAAAAAAAACGTATATAATTAAGCTCAACTTTAAATTTTTTTGATTGAGTTCAAACTGCCCTATCAAGTTTAGTTAAAATTATTAACTTTAAAGTGGAGTGATTATCCTGAGATATGGGATGATATGATCTAATCATTGATGAACCTCTGAGAGAGATAATTTCAGGGCAGCTTGTAATATTATGTTAAATATTACTGATTTTCAAACAAGTACTCTAGGTCTTTTTTTCCTGCAAAGACTTTGGAGTTTTTACCTCTTTTCCATTCAAAAGAAAAAAAGGGCAAAAGAAGACTTTCTAGTTTTTAAGTTCTCTCCATCTAATGGGATAAAATTTATTGTTATTGTTATATAATAATAATAATTAGTAGCATTTCTTAAAGTATTTCCCCCCCTCGATGATTGTCAAATTTAGTTAAGAGAGTTTTTTTTTTTCAAAAATGTCTTTTATATTTATATAAATATGACTTCGAAATAAAGTTCATAAGTGGCTTGAACTATTTCTGCTAATACAAATTCTTACTGGTTACTTTTGATTTGATATCAATAGCATACTAATAAATAGTTGACATAAAGTGGTATTGGTGAATTTTTATGAAATTTTTTTAAAAATAATATTTTATAAAAATAATAAAATGAGTAAAAAATATTTATAAAAGAAAACTTTAGCTAAATTTATCAATTTTAATTTTAGAGGATTTAAATCTTGATAGTTGATTTTAGTTTAATAAATGACATTAACTTTAATGTTAATCTATCTTCATAAGATATTATGTTTATAAATTTTGAATTAAAATTAAAATATACTTTTCATAATATTTTTTAAAGTCATATGTTTATATAAAAGAAGTTTTTTATGCACTAATGATAATGATAATCACCCGATAATTTAAACCTTCTAGCTGAGTTTTTTTTTTTTTTAATGCCAATGATTACGTGAACATGGGTTGATCATTAGCTGGAACTTGGAGCTCCGTTAACTGTATTAGCTGAAATGGGGAATAGCCGCGGTGCTAATAGCTTTTTCTCCGAGCCCCCTCGCAAAGCGAAATTGCTTCTACTAGCTTCTGTGTTCTTCTACGATGTCGAAGAGGAAACTCTCAACGCCTCTTTCCACTTTCACGAGAAAATGCCTAACTTCGATTGCCCCCTTCTCCCCCTTCAAATCTTCTCCTACGCTTAAACGTTGCACCTATATCTCATCGCCACCGCCTCCCATTACACCATATCATCGTCTTTTACATGACCCCTCGTACTGTTCTCTGGGAAATCTTAGGGCTTCTGTCAAAAGTGTTTCCTCGGTATCTTCCCGGAAAATCGAAAGTGGTTGCTGGAACTGTCATGCTATGCCCGAATCAGCACCGTTTTTGGTTTGCCAGTCTTGCAGGAGCATTCAACCCGTCGATATATCCGTCGACTATTTTGACATATTCGGACTGTAAGTTTCTGGGCTTTTGTTAATCTCGATAGTAACTTTGCTGGCCAAGTTTCACACTCTTTTTTTTTCTTTTTCGTCCCCTCATATTTATGTATGATTAAGTATGGAAAGAAATATGGAATAAAATTTTTTCATCTATGCTGGTTGCTGAGTTAGTAAACATATCGGGAATAAAGGAGATTTCTATTTCTATTGATAAATTTGAGAAGTGACGTGAAACAATGATTATGAAGAGTTTGCTGTCTTTCTGCACTGCATAGAATAGTATTTTGGCCACATTGCATTAGATGGTTTTACTTTTTTTTTTTTAAAGTGTTGTCTCGTATATTTGTAGATGCTACGTTTTGTCAAGTAAAGAGAAAACTGTATGTTATTGTAATCTTCTGAGTTCTGGACACTTCTAATGGGTCCTTTTTGGCAAAACCTGAAGCATAATTTGGTTCTTGCTCATAAATTTTGCCTTCAGATTTCACAATAAAGAGGGGAAAGTTTATTGCCTGCTAAATTTGATAGATAAGGCGGGAAATCTGAAAGTAAATTTTATTTTTCCCAATTTGCAATAGGGAGAAGAACTATGATATTGAGGTTAAGAATTTGGAAGGCAAGTACAAAAACTGGCAAAAGAAACTACACCCTGATTTAGTACATTCAAAATCTGAGGTAAGTCTGACGGATTTCCTTTCTTCTTCCTGTTATTTACAAACCTAGTTTTAATGAGACAGGCAAGTTGAATATTTTTCTATTTTTCTTTTTTTAACATTATCTATTGGGTTAGAAAGAAAGAGATTTTGCTGCTGAACAATCTGCCAAGGTGATTGATGCATATCGTACGCTTACAAGGCCTTTATCAAGAGCAATTTACTTGGTGAGCATATTTTCTTCCTTATATCACAAAAATGGTCATTCTTTATTGCAGTGGTAGAAATCTCTATATAACTTGAAAATGTTAAAAAGAGTGGGTGAGTGATGATATATATCTGTATGTTTGTGTGTTTGCAAAGAAGAATATTCTATATCTATGTAACCAAGAGGGGAAAAAATATTCTATATCTGGGTGGTATTCGTTCAGAATCCACTTTGGGTATCTCTGAACTTTTTTTTTTTTTAATGCAAACATTGGGATAATTCTATCGTGTAAATGTCATAAATAAGTCCTCCATCACAACTTTTGGCTTTTATTGTTCAGTTCTTCCTTCCGTTGTGTTATTAAGTAATATTGTTCCATTTGTTTTCCAGTTGAAGCTTGAGGGAATAGAAGTTGATGAGGAACAGACAGTTTCAGAGCCTGAACTACTATCTGAGGTGATTAAATGGACTATGATATGCATTTAATGTGATTTTTTTGACATTTTTTTAATAGATACTTCATAATCAATAATGATAGAGATGACTGGTTATTGTATTTGAAAACAATTCTAAAATAACCTAGTGAGATATGGTTTGTTGTTATTATTGTTTTTGTCGTTTATTCAAATCATTAATCGATTGAAAACATGATGGGATAAGTGAAGTTTTTGGGATGCTGAATTACCTGCTATGAAAGTAAATTATTCTATGGATTTCATATACTGAACATATGCTTCAACGATTTATATGTGGAATAATGATGGAAGTGGCAGCAGAGAAGAAGAGTTCAGAATGGGTTTGCTGGATTGCAGGGAGAGATTTTCTTTCCTTTTATATCCATGCCCCCACCTTTATTCTTCTTTCTCTTGAAAAATCAGGCTTCCCTTTCAGATTTTTAAATAGTAACACTGGATCTTCTTTGTGATAATAGCTTGTGGAGTGTAATGCAGTATTTTCTATCTCCCATTCATATCATGTCGCCCACGAGAAGACCTGATTTTCTATCAGTTATCTATATTTTTTGGAAGAAAAAATTATTATATATTATTTGGTTAAATTTTACTGCAGATTTTGGAAATCAGGGAAGCAGTTGAAGAAGCTACTGACTCTGAGGATTTAAATCACATTCTCTCTGAGGTAAATATGATCGCTCTAATTTGCTAAGCAGAAATCGATTGAAAAGATTGCTTCCATCATCTTCCATTTTGTTATTGTTTAGTAGGATGGATTATTATTGCTTTGTTATTGGTTTTCTGCACACCGTGATATCAAACCTCTCATTTCATGCAGATGCAGGAAAAGCTAAGGCATTGGTCAACTGTCTTTGCTAATGCATTTAAAAGCCGGAACTTTGAAGAAGCTAAATCTTCAATTCAGAGAATGACGTACTATGAGCGTGTAACTGATGAAGTAGCAAAGAAACTTTGATATAGGTAAGATCATCTTTTTCGTGTTTAGCTACCTTCTGAGACTATGCTCAAGATGAAAAGAAGAAAACGGAAGAATTGAGGTTCAAGGTGAAAAGTGATTTACGCTTTTGGGATGGGCAAATTCATGAAATAAGAGTGAAAAGGTTTTCATTTGTATTCCATTTCATTTGCCAAAAATTGCCACTAATTAAGGTGAACATGAGAGAAGAATGGGGTTTAAAAGCAAAGAATTCCAGAAAATTGACCTGCTTGTGCCTTTACTGTAGAAGTTGGTGGCATGGGACGATGATGATAGTGGTTCTGGAAAGGTGCCATGTCTGACATTTCTATTTTCACTCTTATCAAGCTAGAGGAAGTGCAATCAGTGCGAAGGCTTCCACTTTTCTTTCAGTAGTTTATTGCACGGTGAACGCGATGCAAGTGGCCCCCTTTTAGTTTCTGCTTCTGCAATTTTTAAATGATTCTGGGGCAGACTTCGAGGATTGGGACATTCCTTTTGTGGTATATAATGGGCTTGTCTGAAGAATTTGAACGTGACTTCCAAATTGTGTCATAGTACCTTAATGCTGCTCGCCTGCTATGCAGATGATGAGAGTTTACGCAGTGGTGCCATGGCATCATTATCGTCCCTAGCATTTGGGGGCCTTGTGTAATGCTATCTGGTTTTTATACGCGCAAGCATTAAATCGACAGTGTTCTTTTATTATTATACAATACACCCATCCTGATTGATGACTTCTAAATATCTTATATCGTCGTGAGCTCACATTTTGGTGAATGATTATTATGAGGATGCCAATTGCCAAGTTTCAGAAATGTGCCAAGAGAACGCTATTTGAAGGAGAAACTTTTAAAGTTCAATTATGACTTTTGCTGCATCCTGCAGTACAAGAATGACTAAATCTGGCTTGCCCTTTTTGTTTAACCCATAAAATACAGTTTGGAAATTGATGGTGCCAGTAACAGTCCCTTTATCTTGCATTTCAGATCGTAGCTGGAGGCTTCTTCAGATCTAACAACTTTGCAGAGGCAAGGAAGAAACATGGGAAATAGGTTTTAAAATATGGAAATGGACCTTTATATGTCCTACGGTGAAAGACATTCCATGCATTAGTAACATTATTGAGGGGTGAATGCATAACCAGTGTTTGGTTTATAATTTTTTTTATTGTACACGATTGTTCTATTTGAAATAATCTTGTTTAAAACACAGTTAAACATTAAAGATAGGTGCCAATTTATTATAACATGACGTCCTCTTTATTAAACGTTTCTATAACTTTTACCGGGGTTATTAGAATCTTTGGGAAATTGAGATAGGCTTACATTTTGTTAGAGGGGGGGACTGCTTTTAACTCTTTCATTTTGTGTGTAGGCCAAACGCATTTATTTTTTTCCTTGTGTGTATTCAAAGGCATTATTTTTTTCCCACTAATCTATGTTGTTGCCATTTTATTTATCCTTTCCAAAGCAATAGCTATCTGTGGTTAACTCTTATGATTTTATCCTAGCAAATTCCCTTTTAAAGTCTCACTAATTTATTTTTCTCAAATCGTTACATTCATACTCAAAAACCCCTTTTTTCAATAATAATTCACATCATCATTAGGTTATATTACATTATTATATGTTGCTATTCTTTATTGCTATTGACCATTGTTTTCTTTTGTCACTTTACACATGTTTGAGGCACCAATTTGAAGCATTAGAAATTTAGAATAGACAATACCTATTGGACTTTATAAATAACAACCTCAGTTTGGTTATTGAGAGGTTAGTTTGTCAGGTATGTTTTAATTTTATTTTTTAAAAAAATACAACCTTTTGCTTTCAATTAAAAGAATTAAATAAAAAACTGAGAAATTGCCGAATTCTTACTGCTTGATCACATGCAATTTTCCTATCCATGGCTTAGGGTTTACTCATGAGAATCTTGTTAAGGGAGGGACGGAAACAACAAAATTTTTATAATTAAAGTTAGATTTGAAAATCTAATATCCGAAAGCGCCTGTGGCCTAATGGATAAGGCGTCTGACTTCTAATCAGACGATTGTGGGTTCGAGTCCCACCAGGCGTGCATGTTCCTCCTATAAACCTCAAAAAAGTTGATGACTCGGGCTCTTTTTTTATGAAAGAATAATACTAATTTATATATATATATATATATATTTTAGACTTTTTAACTGTGGCCTAAGTAACTGCTGACTGCATCAACGAAACGCCCCGCTTATAACCATTAACCAAAGCCCTTGGGGACCGAGAGGACGTGTGATTTTCCGGGCCAACTATGGGATGGGTTTGGAGAGACGACGACGATCAAGTACGAGCATCATCTCGTGAAAATCGTGAATTCGGGAGCTCCGCTCAATCTGGGGGACCATGCTCCACCCGAAAGATCATGAAATCTCGGTGCAAAACGGAGGAGGTTGAGCCTGGCAAGTTTGTCAGGAAATGCGAGAAATCCCAAGAGATTCTCAGGGATTGCATCGGAAAGTTAGTATTTTTTTTTCCGACTTCCTCTATTTCTTTATCTGGATTTCCTCCTTTTAATTTATCTAGGCAAATGGGTGTCTCTTTTATTGTCCATTGGTTTGGATTTTTTTGGCCGGAACATTGATTCAGATTTTAAACTCAACATCCCTGGTTCCCTGTGTCCTACTGTTGTTTTGTTTTCCTTTTTTAGTAGCCTATGACTAGAAACATAAAAAATAGAAAATATAAATAAACAATAATTTCGTTCGTTTTTACCTTCCCGATTTTATTATGCCTTCTATTTTGTACAAAATACAGCAATTTATCAACTCTGGTTATACGTCCATTTTATATCAGCAACAATAATATGACCCCTTGGCGAATTATGTTAAAACTATAGCTGTTGGGAGGGCCTGGAAGAAAGAAAAGTCATATGAAAGTAGGGAACGTTACCAACACGTAAACTACGCAAGTCTTTGGAAATAGTTGCCAGAACTCGGAGATGTAGTTTTATAAAAGAAAAAACATAAGGAAGATTTGGCATTAAACGGCTGTACCCTTTGTTTTTATTGTTCTTATGATCCAGGGTGGGTATTTATTCTCTTTACTGATTTCATGGTTTTTCTGTTGCGGAAACGTAGAAAGCCTCTAATTATTTATCTACAAATGGACTTGAATAGGAAGGAAAGCAAGAATCAGGGGCAACTGGTTGACATGGTATCTGAGTGATATGGTAAAAACCTAGGCCCGATGATACAGGACACTAGACTAGATATCACTTAAAGTTGTTGTCCCTTCTCTCTTCAACTGGAAAATGGAACTCTTCTTTGTTGTGAATTATATGGTTGACGGTTGCCACTTGAATTCTTAGTCATAAGTTTTTGGGATTGTTTATGACCCAGTTGATTTTTTTCTTGGTAATCACAACCCATCTGCTTATAAATTCGAATGCAAGTTGATTTTATTTGACGCCCTGATGATGGCTTGGAATTGAGCCATTGCTGTAAGATTTCATTTTAGAGAGCGAGTAAAAATGGTTTTACATTCTATGGTGGGCGCTTGGTTGCTGTTACATTGTAGGCGTGATGATATAGTGGACAAGTATTCAAGGCCGAGGAGTCCTGTACTTGAGCATCTTATTGTTGTTTGATCTAGAGGTGATATTTGCGGCTTATCTTATAGAACCTGACTTTCCTGATTTAGTATGCTTTTAGGTTTTTTAAATGATAAATCCTTCTGGAAATAGGAACAAGCCACGAACTCCTGTCCTGACTTGCATGTTTGTCCTTGCTAGTTCTAATGGCTTTCCCATGCCTCAGGCCTGTTGAAGTGGTGGAATCCAACAACGAGTATGCTGAAGACGATGTTACAGACCAAGTCCTGCAAAGAGGGTCCTCAGAGTTTGGTCCATCAGACGCTGGGGCGTTTCACTTCCCTGGGCTGCGTAGTGATTTGGAAGCCATGGAAAGGAAAATCATCGACGGTCTATCTCGGTTCTTGGATGCAGCTGAAGACATGAAAAATGGCTTCTTGGATGTTTTTGCAAAGGCTCCTCGCATGCTTGATGGGCCCTCTGGAAGGCGAGGGACTCCAGAAGCCTCTCCCAAACCAAATGATCATCAACACGGAGCAATCGATGCTGATTTGTCTGCATTGGCTAAGGACGTTTAGTTTAATTTGAGCCGCTTCATGATTTTAGATGTATACATATAGAAAAATAAAAATCCCCTCTTTGTGTTAAAATATGAAATCAATTATAAATGCCTGCACTACGATTAAATCGATCCTTCAGTGTTCAAAACATGTTGATTGAGCTGTCATTAACCACTGAATGGAATCTGAACAACGTCCTTCAATAATCAGATATCGACGAAGTAGGCGATCATGAATGCTACGAATCTTAAAAGTAACTTTTTAAGAACTCCTAAACTTGTTGAACTCTTGGGGACTTGCCCTCAAATTCAATTGCATATCATCTCTCAATCTTCCCCTTGTTTCCAAACTTTTATGGTCAACTAAACTCATGCCATAACCTTGAAATGAAATCGTTGGTGATGAATAAAATGATTTTCAGGATCATATCATTTCCTTTTAACATCAATTGTCTGAGATAACAAACCGACAATCTTTAGTTGTTCATTCAAATTTTTAATGCTTCATTCAAATTTCTTGGAACTTGACCAATACTCTCACGCTCTTGGAACTTGCGCCAACAAAGAGGAGTTAATTCGCCCCCAAGAATTTTGAGCATGGGCATATTTTATGAACCTGAATGTCGCACATTCATTAATGATATTCTCATTTACATGTAACAATCTACGCCGTTGATTTAAGATAAATGATTTTAAAATAATTTTAAATGAATTTGATATTTATGAAAATTTCTCAGTTATTAATGCTTTCAAAAATGGAGAGAATGAAACTTACCAAATATAATTTCATTCTTTCAAATAAATTAAAACATAAATTACAAATTATAATTTTATATATTATTTAAACATATTACAAACTAATTACTTATCCTTAAATCAATTAATATAGAATGGAAGTCGGTTGCCATATTTTAGTTGGCGAAGTCCCAAAAATAAGGGCCATCCTGGACATGTCTCGTAGATTCTTGCTTGTGTGTGTAGTTAGTGACGAAATTCTTTGCTTGTGTGTGTAGTTAGTGACGAAATCGTGGTGTTGTGTGCGCCTTAATAACTTTCGCTGTCAAAACTAGTTATGTTTTATTCAAATATTATGATACTACTGGCTAGTGTTAACGCCTTGGCAATAACGTATTTGGGTTATATTGATGTTAATATTAATAATACAATATCATTAATAAAGAATAAACAAGAAATAGAATTACCAGCACCGCCTGCGGGCTGCCAGAACACTTGACGAAGTTTAATGAAAATCTGGACCGTCCAATGTGGCGGGCCAATCTTTCAGAGCCATCCGATTACTTCACGCCTCGATACGCGTTCCCTTCCAAAATTTTGGAACATCTTTGTAACGGAAATACCCGTAACACCCAATGTCCAGATTCTTTTTCTCTATCTATCTTTTTCCCTCCTCCATTTTCTTACCTAATTCGTGCCTGTATCATTCTGGAGAGGAAGATTAAGGATCGTAAAATCGTTCTTAAAATCCAGAGATTTGTCAAGATTTCTCCTGTCAGTTGGCTTTTTTCGTTTTCATTTTTCTGTTTCTCGTTTGGGTTTCATTTTCCTTATCCTCTCCTTCATTCCCCCATCGCAACTTTCAGCTTCAATCACCTGAAAGTTTCTTCCTTTACGCCTTCAAATCCTGCATTCGTTGCATCTTTTGGTGGAGTTATAATCAGAATAGATTGGGCATTTTGGGGGATCACCTTCGTGTTTCCCTGGCCCACGAAATATTCCCATTGCAATGTTCGAGTATTCCTCGGAAACATCAAAATGTGCGGGAAAGACTATTTAAAACACGTAACAGGTGAGTAGCGTGACATGGGAAACAACTGTGTCTGTTTTGGATCGAGAACTTCAAAGGACAAAGAAGTTCCTAAGGATTCGAATTCAAGTGGGTGTTGTACTCTATTCTCAAATTTTATACTTTGCAATGACCGCAAAGCAAATGAGAATGCAGCACCAAGTAACAATGAGCCAAATGCCTCAAACACGGTCGTTGACAAGCCCCCAGAGGTAGTCAAAATCGCAAAGGACGAGCCAAAATCAGTACTTGACAACGCCACCAAAAAGGACCAAGTCCCAGACTCCAAAAAATCTTCAGAACCCATAAGGCATGTGGAGGAGTCGAGGGTGGCAGCACCATCAACTACAGGAACAACACGGAAAGCAGAATCTTCGGGACCAAAGAAGCCGTACAATGTGAAGAGGCAAGCAGCGGCGGGGCTTAAAGCAGAGTCCGTGTTGCAGACGAAAACAGGGAATCTGAAGGAGTTCTACACTTTGGGGAGGAAGCTTGGGAATGGGCAATTCGGGACTACATTCCATTGTGTGGAAAAGGACACGGGGAAAGAGTATGCCTGCAAGTCAATAGCCAAGAGGAAATTGATCACAGAGGAAGATGTGGAGGATGTGAGGAGGGAGATTCGGATAATGCATCACTTGGCAGGGTGTCCTGATGTGATTTCCATAAAAGGGGCTTATGAGGATGCCGTGGCTGTTCATGTTGTGATGGAGCTTTGTGCAGGTGGTGAATTGTTTGATAGGATTGTGCAGAGAGGGCATTACACTGAGAGAAAAGCAGCTCAAATAGCCAGGACTGTAGTCGGTGTCATTGAAGCTTGTCACTCCCTTGGAGTAATGCACCGTGATCTTAAGCCCGAGAACTTTCTATTCGTTAATGAGCAGGAGGATTCTCCCCTTAAGGCTATCGATTTTGGCTTGTCTGCTTTCTTCAAACCAGGTTTGCCTATATTTCTCCTCTTTCACTTAACGTTTCTCTCTGGATAGTTGCTTTAATGAATAACAAGTGAGCTTGAACATTGAATCCTGATTGAGTCATCGTAAAGCAGTGAAAGATAGACTCCATCTTTAATTACCGAGTTTGGCAAGCAATCGTTACTAGCTGATGCTATGTGAAAGAAGGGAACTTTCTGCATCAATGATTCTGTCTGTAACATTGGTATGAATGCCTGGTTAATGCAGGGGATATATTTAATGACGTGGTCGGAAGCCCATACTACGTTGCGCCAGAAGTCCTGAAGAAGCGCTATGGTCCAGAAGCTGATGTGTGGAGTGCTGGTGTGATCATATTCATTCTGTTAAGCGGGGTGCCTCCGTTTTGGGCTGGTAAGAGTTCATGCAATATCCGGCACATGATGATCCAGTCCTTTCTCTTTTTTTAATCATTTGAATCTGATTCTAAAAAGTGTAATCTTCAGAAACGGAGCAAGAGATATTTAAGGAGGTATTGCACGGTGAACTTGATTTCAAGTCAGAACCCTGGCCTAGTATTTCTGAATGTGCAAAGGACTTGGTCAGGAAGATGCTAAATAGAGATCCTAGCAAGAGATTAACAGCCCATGAAGTTCTTTGTAAGTTTCTATACTCTCTTTCTCATGCTTTGCTTATACTTTACGTGAAGGACATAATCTTCTTAAGAAGACAAGCTGAAATTAATTGCAAAAAAAAAAAATGATGAAATATTAAGCTTTTTATTATCAGAATTACTTATTATAATTTCAAACAACTATCTTGAGGAATGCTACAACTTTACTGTACATAAGATAACAAAGCTGTGATTTGATGCAGGTCATCCTTGGATTCGAGTCGATGGATCAGCTCCTGATAAGCCTCTTGACCCTGCAGTTCTGACTCGCCTGAAGCAGTTTTCTGCAATGGACAAGCTCAAAAAAATGGCTCTTAGAGTAAGTTATCTTTGCTAGCTCAGGTGATTTTGTTCTGTAAATTGAGTTGTAAATGTGGCTTATTGTTGGGTGGTTGCAGGTTATTGCACAGAACCTGTCCGAAGAAGAAATTGCAGGGTTGAAAGAAATGTTTAAGATGATAGACACGGACAATAGTGGCCAGATTACTTTTGAAGAACTCAAGGCTGGATTGAAAGCCTTTGGAGCTAACATTGATGAAACCGAGATTCACAATCTAATGCAAGCAGTAAGTAACTCGGAAAATAATCTCCCCTCGAAAAAACAAACATCATATCTCATATCAGTACATTCATGTTATAATCCCTGTACGAGTATGGGTTATGACTGACTGTTAATTCTTGTGTTGTTAAACTATATTACAGGCAGACGTTGACAACAGTGGCACAATAGACTACGCGGAATTTATAGCAGCAACCTTGAATAAAAACAAAGCTCAGAAAGAAGATAACTTGGTCGCTGCTTTCCATTATTTTGACAAAGACGGAAGCGGCTACATCACTCAAGACGAGCTTCAACAAGTCTGTGAAGAACTCGGTCTGGAAAATGATCGCTTGGAGGAGATGATGCGTGAGGCTGATCAAGATAATGTGAGTGAATACTTCATGTATAACCTTCACGCTCCAAACAATTCATTAATTGCAATATCATTCACCTACGTTTGTTACGGTTTCAGGATGGCCGAATAGACTACGATGAATTTGTGGCGATGATGCAGAGAGGCAATGCAGATATGGGCCGGAAGGGTGTAAGGGGGAAATAACAGTATTAGCATCGCAGGCAGAGAGCCATTATCAGTATGTTAAGACATTCAGAGAACAACACTCTTCTTTTTCTTTTCTTTTCTTTTCACGGGGCTTTGCCCTTGAATGTAGATTATGAAAGGAAAGACAATTCTTTTACTATATAGGCTTTTATTGCTTGGAATCACACTAGCTAGAATCTAATACAGAGAGAGAACTTCGAGTGCATGCATGTTCGTAGAGTGAAGGACGATGTGGTTCAAGATTAGCTAGCATGAAAGCAATGACTTGACGTCTATCTGTCATATGCTTGTGTGCTAGCTAGGGTTCAGAGGTTTAGAATAGCTTCCCTATTATTGCAGGAGAAGAATTGGGCCACCAAATGCACGCTCTACTGTGAACTAGAGAGTCACTTTGATAACAACGTTTCAATGGATCTGATAAAATTACATCCCGAGATTGTTCGGTCGGTGACAAATAGCTTCATTGATCAATGCCAATGTCGTTAATCAGGACTTTTGAATCATCTTGCAGTAAAATAGGGTTACATTCTACATGTACAAAAAGAATGTGTGAAAGGCAAAATCTGCGCTCGAGAAACTCTAGAGTGCTGTATGTTTATGTTCGTTTAAATTGGAAGGGAGATTTAATTAATAACCATATACATGCATTATTCAACTTTCACTTGTCACCTCATTCCCATCATTCCCAAACCCATTTCTTTAGTGATAAGTAATCGGATGCCTTTACACAACCTTTCACTATTTTGGCACAGCATCATTCTCTCTTTGATTAGTTTAGTACATTGCATCTGAGAATTTTTTTAAGGAAAAAACTAAATTACCTAAACTTATCGTTACCTCAATTGACGTGATAAAAATTGTGTTCATTGTCTGAAAAGAGTAACGCGACAAGACAAGAGGGGGAAAATCTAGAATCACAACACCATAGTCATAGAGACCTAATTTTGGTTCAGTTTATATGCACTCAGAAATGGTAGTGGTGGGAAATTATTGGCTGCATATGCACAATCTCCTTTATGTGGGGGAAACACTACACTCTTTCTTGTAGTCTTATTTTGACATTCTTTTGATTATTTGTGAAGCCATGGGAACGTGATGTGTGCCAGAAAACACTGCCCTGTCAGCGTCTTCGATTTGGCATATCTCATTCTATGTACTTATTTATTTTTGTCACTCTCCAAATTTCCTCCATCACGCTGGCTTTTGCTTTATGATTTTCTTCAATATATAAATGCCTTTCCTAATGGTGTCCCTTTGTATTATTCAGACCGTAACCTCTTTTCTTAATTACGAACAGGCATATTTGGAACCACCTCGAGTGGTTATACATATTTCTCAATTCATAAATGTGATTAGACGTTTGGGTAGAAATTGAAAATATATACGAAAATGCAGAGGAATCAGTATCATGAAATTGAAGGGATGGTGCATATCTGATATACTTTTTCTGATGAGGCGGTTGAGTTGGGTCCATTATTAAGTGGGATTTGGCTGTCTAACGAATGACGTTAAGATTTGGGGTGGGATTATTAACTATGTTCATGTGTTGATTGGGGTTTAATTAATCATAGTTTGTCTGTTGAGAGAGATTTTGAGGAATTGGTGGCAGTGACCTGTCAGCCATGGTCAGATTCCAGCTTTGTCGTTCATGACCCAATCACTCTATAACAACAATGCTATAGTCGCAACTTGCAATTATCGAGAGAGATCGAGGTTAATTTACCTAATTGGTTAGTTAATCATTGTAAGTAATACTGGATGTCCCAAATACTAGTCCTCAAATGATGCGGCAATCATCAACCACTTTAAAAGAACATTAAATTAAATTCTTTTTTAAAAAGCAGGGAAGGAAAATTTTGTTGTAAATTAATTTATCGTTAATATTTATCCTTTCCCCTTTTTCTTTGACCAAAAAATATTAGAATAAAGAACTTATATTCTTGGCAACTGTGTTTGGAGTCCGAAATTAATTAATTGTTCTAATGAGAAATGATGATTGATAATGAAGTTGAAAAATCAAGGTGAAATACATTATCATTTGAAGTGTACGCTTAATCATCCTTTATTATACTACAACATCAACAGAAAATTTATTTGATTGAGTGAGACGGTGTTAAATTGGAAGTGGGGATGCATTGGATAAGAAGAGAGAAGTGTGAGGAGGAAGGTTTGAGAGAGAGAGAGAGAGAAGCATGTGAAGCGACCTGTGAAGAATGGAGGAACCTACGAAAATCACTGCAGAGCCATAACTTGATGATTGGAGTAGACATAATGTGATAATGTTGTCTTCTGATATTACTTGTAACTTACCCCATCTCTTAATTCTTCACCTTTTCGGGTGATCTTCCTTAATTAATCTCCCCACCTCCAATCATCGTCCTTCCTCCCTACTTCAGCTTCCTCATTAATTTTAATCTTTCATTGTCATGTCTTAATCTATCAACTCTCTCTCTTTCTCTCTCTCTCTATCAGATGTACCATACTGCATGCACATTTACAGGCGAACATTTACCTCAGATTTCATGACACCATGCCCGCAACACGTATGCCCTTTTATTTAATTATTTTTCTTCCTTTTTCAGCTTTAGGTGATTTGATGGTGTCCTCTTTAAAATGATTCGACCCCCATAAGGAATATTACCTTTGAAGATGGAACCTCATGGCCACCCATCCAATTTCGATGCATACGGGAATATCAAGTTGAATTGAAGCCTTACTTTATTTAATTTTTTTTTTTTTAATGTATTGGGAGTATCTTAACACTTAACCACTGCCTAGCAACACTCGACTTTATTGACCTCGTCACTTGAGCTGCTATCAGGGACTCGGATATTCTTCGATCGCGGAAGTAGAATACAGATTAAAAAGTCACTTGAGCTACCATCAGGGGAACTTGTCGAGTAGAGCCTAAAACCCCCCTACTGTCCCCGTCTCTCCACTCGTGCCGTTTTGAACTTGAGGAAAATACTCTCCTAACCGTTCTCGTGGCTAAAGTTTAATTAATTAGACTAGCCATTGAGCACACCATCAGATCTTTTTTTTTTCCAAACAAAAAAAAAAACACAATACTATTCTACCAAAAATATTTGTAATACTAGAATATAACGAGGGATTAGAGTGTTGTATGTGATGTCGGGAGAAGGGCGTTGGAAGGGATCCGAGGAAGGAGGTCGGTCGGGGTGTCATTCTTATCCACGGCGCAATGTTGGCGCGTGCAACACACGCTCCTGCAGACGTAGCGCTTCTCCGTTAGGCCTGACGTTGAATGCAGCGCACGCCCCGCAAAATCCCAAAACAAATGCAAAAAGCAAATTAATTCTCTCTCCGTCCTCTTATCTGTGAATACGATATTCCTGTTCTCCACGGAGGACCCTCCTCTAAGCGGGGGCCCTCCCATGCACGGCTCCGATTCGTGTTCAGCATCTTCACGACCGTCCGATCATCCCACGTTCTGACAGCTCATGAGCACTTGGTGGGGCTCCTGTCGAGGTTGGCCTAACGTGCCGCCAATCATGTTGTTCGCTCCTGCCACGTCACCCCCCAGCGGTACGCCCCTCCCCATCCTCCCAGCCCTTGCTCTCCCTCCCTCCTTACATTCCCACGTTCTCCTACAGTGCCTCTTGTTGCTCCTTCAATCATTGGTTCTCCCCTGCCCTCTTTTACCATTCTGCCCTTCTCCCCTCCATTATTAACCCTTTCAGGTATCTTTTACATTCAGCTTTACAGAACGTGCACTTTTCCGATGAGCTATGTTGTCTCTAGTTCAATTCTGGAGGCGGTGAATAATATTGGATTTCATTTGCAAGTTCCTATTTGAGCACATGACCATAAACACAAGTCCAGTGAAGAAAAAGTATGGTGATTTGTCATTGATCGGATTGTACATGTTCAGCCAAAAAATAGTTCAGTACATGCGGACAAACGGACAAACCTCTCTTCTTCAACCTTTTGATCCCCGGATATCAATATTATCCTCTCCATCACCTTTATTTCGTCTGCACCAAATATCTTTCGCCAGCTCGGTTTCATCAACACACCAAAAACCAAAAAAATCATCAAAACGCCATATGAAGAGCAATGATTGATCAGTTACAACTTTTTTATTGTTCATAACTGGCTGCTGAAATTCCTATTGCTCAATGAAATGAATTGTCTGAACCGTAATATTAGGCCGAATTCATCATCATTCCTATACAGTCACCGGGTAAATGTCACCTTTCGATTCTACCGATGTAGTTTCACCTCAAAATTCTTGGGGTGACAGTTAAACCAAAAACAAGACACCAGACTGTTTCCACAATTTTCAACTTTTTTTTGGGGGAAAAAAATAACTGCTTGCATGGACGGTTAGAGTTACGAGTGGCAGAAAAGTCATGATGGTGGGGAGTTCCAAGTAATCTATCTGTTCCAGTTCATTGAAAGTTCGTCTCACTTGGGGCTTTCTTCCCACGAATCTGTCTTCTCCATATCTTCAACGAAAACTCCAGTTTCACCAACTCCCCCTTTCATCTTCATCTTTCCATCCCATTCGATTCCCACTTATAACCCCCCCCCAATCCCACCCGCTGCTTCCTATCCATCGCCACTCTCAACTCTCCTCTCTCTGATTTCCATCTCCCACATAATTCCGTCTTCGAATTTCTCAACTTTCGCCTCAATCTCCATTCCTTTCTCTTCCCTTCTCATCCCTATTATCAATAAATCAAGATTCATCGAGGCTAATATTCCAGAACCCCAGTTTCTAAGGTATGATGAATTGTTTTCTGGTTTTTAACAGTTTGTTATCTCTCCGCCCGTTTTGTTTGTTTTCCAGATGTAATCTGTTTTTCTGTTGCCCTGATTTGTACTCTGTTGACATTCTATTAGTAGATTCTATGTGTTTTTCCTTCAAGAATCGTGCTCTGCTCGCCTCATCTTGTCCGTGTCTGCGTTAGGCTTTTGACCGTTCATTCTCTTTCTTCTTCGTTTCTTTTCTTACCGAATGGGTGCCGCATGGCAATCTGAGGACTGAAATGCAGAAACTAGTGAACCGAACAGAATATGTGTGGGAGTCGTTTATCATTTCATATCCATTCCCATAGTTTTCTTTTTGAATGCTTTCATTTCAAAAGATAGCGATCATCTAGCAGGCGCGAGAGTGATGATGAGGGTTGGTCATTCAGAATCAGAAATTGTGTAAAGGATACAAATCTTGAAAAGGTCTGTTCATAGAGTGTCTGCATTGTAGTTCAAATCTTTTAAGAGCTTGTTATGATCTGGTGACATTAGGATTCAACGAAACGTTCTGCAGAGTTTGCCATTTACGGCGGAGCAGAGAACTCTGTTCCTCTGAATGCTTTTCGTTTTTCTTAAATTTTTGTGGAATATTCAGGAAGTCGTTTCCTGAAAAAGATGTAGATATTATTAGCACATGGAGAAGTTCCCGATTGTGAGACACTATAATAATATCTTTTGGTTCTTGTGTTTATGAGTCTCTGGACTATAACTCTTTGTCTGGTACTGGTAGTCATTTATTGCCTACTTCTCATACAGAGTTTTGTGTCCATGTCCCTTGATCCGCATCAGTAGTAGATGTGCTTAATCACGTTCAAATGTCTCAAAGACTATGAATATCTTTGGCTATTCTTTTCCAGCTGATCGTGCCGCAACTTACTGTCTTCCCTGAGTTTCTGGAACGAAATGGAATCTGAAAATGGCGTTGCTATGGAGGAAGAGAAACGTGTCATTGGGGAAACAAGGGAGGAGAATTTAAACAAGGAAGACCACAAGGATTGCAATGGTACAGAAGTTCAGAGCCAGAACGAAGCAGACAAACCCACAGTTGAAGCTGAAGGCCCCAAATCTGCTGCTGCTGGAGCTGCAGGCGAAGCCCTTGTAACTTCTTCTGCAAGTAAATCCTCAAAACGTACTACCAAGGTACTCTGTGTAATGAATCAGAATTGTTGTCCACGTCTACTGTTGTAATGATTATTTAGAATTACATTGCATGATGTGGGCAACTTTGCTAATTCCAAATTGCTGTGCTTAGGAAACTGGTATTGCTTCAAAGAACAACAAATCTGTTAGAGATAAACCCAATTTGAAAGGTTCGACTTCGATGCCTCAGAAACAAAGGCCAACCATTTCTCAGAGCCTTTCATTCCCAGCCAAAACAGCTCGTGGGGCAGCTATGAAGAAAAGCGTTGACGATCATGAGATTAGAGCTGAGGCTTCTGTCCGTCCATCGATCAAGTCTACAAACTCTGAATTGAACTCAAAGGAAGTAAAGACAAAGCCTGAGAATTTTGCCAGGAGAGCTTCCTTGACATCCAAGCCCAGCTTCAAACGCTCTGTGGTAAATCTTTGTTTCCCCTTGGGTGCCTTTTGTTTATGTAGCTTCATAGCTTTGGTCTCCTTGTATCTGAGATCTGTGTTGCCCTACCAGTTTGGAAGGACTACTGAGGTGAATGCGGTAGCTAAAAGCCATGCATCTGAGACATCCCTGTAAGTCACACCTCAATCTTATATCTGATAGTTAATAATTTTCACTAAATTTTTTCTTTCCAGTCAAGGTAGATACGTAATGGAAAACTACAGTTTCAGAAGAGTGGTCCGTGTTAAATGCTAGAATATATTATATTTGACCTCTGGACATTGTGACAGAACCACCGCGGACCAGAATTCAGACGCAGCAAAAACTGCAAAGCCAAATATAGAGGATGATGATGCTAACTCAACTACTTCGTATGATTTACGATAACTTGTCTTCCTTTATTGGGTTTATGTGGCTAGAATTGTTGATTGTTGATTTTGTATGTATGCTATCAGAAGTGGTACTCCTCGACGGAAGGGCAATGGGGTTGGATTTTCCTCCAGGCTGGAAGAACGAGCTGAAAAGCGAAAGGAGGTTTTTGCTGCAGCCTTACACTTTTTTTTTTTTTTAATACAAACGTTGCAAATGGTGCTCACTAATTCTCTTTGGTCTAGCAGTTTTTTTCCAAGCTGGAAGAGAAAATCCAGGCAAAGGAAGCAGAGAAAACTGACTTGCAAGCGAAATCAAAGGTATCATCAGCACCAGGAGGTTTTGCAAGTATTTCTGTCCTGTGCTTTGGTATTTACATGTTGAATATGTTGCAGGAAAACCAGGAGGCAGAGATCAAGCAGCTAAGGAAGACCATGACTTTCAAAGCCACTCCGATGCCGAGTTTCTATAAGGAACCCCCTCCGAAAGTTGAACTCAAGAAGGTACAACTCTTTGAGTATTTCTCTCCTCCTCCCATCTCTTATATCTCCCTTTCATTAAATGTCATATCTATATATATATATATTTATTCCCTGTGACATCATTTGTTGCTGTAGATTCCAACGACTCGAGCAAAATCTCCAAAGCTTGGACGGCACAAGGCTTCTGGAGTGACTGATAATAACGATGCAGATGAAAAATCTTGTTCAAGCCCGCGTGTGAAACAGCAGAAGAATGATCCGGCCAGGGCCAAGATAAGGTGTGACAAAGATGTGAATCCCAAGAGACCAAACAGGAAAATTCAAGCTCAGGAATCTGAAAGCAGTAAAAGTAGTGCCAAAATCAGCCAAAACGGTAAGGGAGAACGCCGAGAAACATCGGAGGCCGTTGAATCTGAGGAGAACATTGCCCCAAACAGTGCTCAGCTTACAGCCACGACACCAGCGAATGTAGCGGATGAGGTTACTGTTGGAGTGTAGATTCATGTGTCGAACGTATATTTTACATACACACTTAGGATTCTATGTTCTTTCCGATTATTTTATTTCATTATCAAGATTTGTAGATATAAAGATTGCGTGTTCCTCATCTTAAATCTGCTTTGCAGTTACATGTATACTTGTCTCTCACTTTGATCTGTTAACCTCGGGTGTTTTTACTTAATCCACCTGCTTTGATTTCCTTTTTATCCTGGAGATTTAGTTTGAGGGATGCTATCCTTCTTTTTTTTTTTAATATTTATTGCTTTCAATTTCTTTGTATGTTTAGTTCTAAAGGAGATTCTAATCATCAATCAAATTAAGATGTGTTGAAAAAAAATGCAAGGGGTGGCGTTATTTATTAGTCATAAAAACATACTTCGCTTTTAACTCCATACAAAAGCACGACTAGCTGGTATGTGATTCATGTGTTTAGCAAGATATTCCTTAGGAAGAGAACTTTTATAAACTTAACGCCTAACATGCTGCAAAGTACACAAAAGAAACAATAACTTTAGATTTGGTTTCTCCTCTGCTGTCAGTTGTCATTCGTTCTACGGTAATCTTTTCTTTCTTTCTGCCTTTGTTTTTTCTTAGGCAACGAGGTTCGATCGTAAAAGATGCTTACTACAGGAAATGCGTGGGCCTGTTGACAGCAATTGTTGTCCTACTCGACGGGCCCGTTTTTGCTCTTAGTTTCTGTCTTCTTATCCACATTGGCGTCTTGTCTTGTGACTTGTCATTTGTCAAACCGTATAATTTTTATTTCAAAGGAAACTGGGAGTTTGTGTCCCATAAGTGATGACAAACACCTTTTAGCGTTCCACTGTTCATTGATTTCTTGACCCATGAGGGGTTGTGTGAATTATGGGCATGGGCGAATTGGCCTGTAACAACAGAACTGTCACGAAGAATCATTTAACATTAAATGAGAGAATGAAACCAAGTGAAAGAGACCTCAACGTTAATAAAGAGGAGAAATGAACCTTGAGTAGGATAATAATTAAACATGACTTCAATGTCAACTACTCAAGGGTTATATTTTTTGTTCTTTACCTCTTACGATGTTGCATAAGGTTGAAGATAATTCGTAATATTTTTTACTTATAAATAATATGATTTTTCTTATATTTTATGTATGTATATTGATTGATGATATTAAGTTATTCCATACTTCAATATGAAGTTTTAGATTTAATCCTTCAAAAATTATTTCTCTCTCGATTTAATCCTCGATAATTTGGTTTTTCTATTATTTCTTTCAACAGTAATCCCTCCTGGTCCTAGAAGCATTTACAAGCTTTCTTCCGACACAAACCGATGTGAGTTTTTGATATTGAAAAACAACTGAGCAAGATCATATTTAGTAAGTATTTACAGCCATGCAAAGCCTCTCTCTCTTTTTTCCCACACTTAACATAGGAACTGGTTTTTGATAAAAATGAAAAATGAAGGGAACTTATAAAAATAAAATTGGAAGAAAAATCTGGAAAAACAAAACTGAATGGGAGTGACGTAATTAAAGATTTTTTTTGACCTTGACGTAATTAATAAAGATTGAAAAAAAACGAAAGAATGGATCTTTGAAAGAAAAAGATGGGGATAAGTTAGTAGTAATTAACTTTATTTTAATAGAAACACATTTTCCTTTTGTTTCCAAGGAAAAAGGCATGTGGAGAGGTAAAAATTTGTTGGGAAATCAATGAACAATGAATAAATATTGCTCTTGCATGATGCAGGGAGATTTTGTCGAGAGACATTGGAGGCTTTTGGAAGGGGGGAGGGAAGAGTTTGCATTCCTCCACTTATTTGATTAGTATCTAATAAAGGAAGGAAAGTAGAGTTTTTTATTTAGTTAAAAAATTGAAGGGAAAGGGAGGGGAGCAACTTCCCTTTCATCCCCTCCTAGCCTTCTCCAATTTAGGATTTTTTTTATGAGAAAAAAATTATGACTAAATTACTTATTTATTTATTATTTTTAAAAATTTGAGGTGTGTTTGATATTAGGTGCATTATCTTTCCCCCTCTCTCTTATAATTAAATAAATGTTATCACTTTACAAAAATTAATATATAAATTTTTTTGTCTAAAATTTTATAAAAGATAATATTAATATATTTATTTTAAAAAATTGTTATTAATATACATTTATATCCTTAGAACAATAAAGTTACTAAAATATAACATAATTATTTTTAATAATAAATCAAAACAAAAATAAAAATTAATTTAAAATTGATAAGATAAAATTATTAATTTATTATTGGCCCTTCTCCCGTTCTTTTTTAAACCAAATAGAAGTTTGTTAAAGTTTTTCTTTTTTCTTAAATCAAACACAACCCAGCTTCGCAATACATTAGCTGCCCACCGACACCCCCTTCCCTTTTTTTTTTTTTGTTTTGTTTTGGTGAAAATTAGGCACGCTGTCTTATTCGTAAAGATAATCGAATCCCAGCAAAGGTCCATTTCATCACTAGCTGGAAGCAAATAAAATAATGCTACAGTGCATACTTCTCATATATTTTTTTTTAATAAATCATTTCTACCAATATTATTAATATTATTATAAAAAATAAAAATATACAAAATTTTAATTATCCCTTTATATAACAAATTTAAAAAGTAATGTTATATTATTTTTTCTCTTTCATAAAAAATAATTTAAAAAATATTTTTTAAATATCATCTAAAAAATTATACCATAATTTATAAATGAGATAAAATAAATCTTTTAAAATATACTTATTATTTATAAATAAGACTAAAAGGAGTATTAGCTAATGATAACTCCTAATAAAAAGGTCCCTCGTATATTTAGGAAGAAGTAGATGACGTACCTGTTTGATTCACCCCAAAACTAAGTGGGGAAAAAAAAGTATGGACCCGTGAAGGGTGTCGTATTCAAAGATTGTTTATTGCACCCAGGCTACAGAGACACATAATCAACATAAAATAAAAAATCAAAAAATGACATCTAATTACATTTTGTAAAACAAAATGACAAAAAAAAAAATGATCCTGTCAGAGTTCCTACGAAAATCCCACAACTCAACTTGTTTCCATAAATCTACTCTTTTTTTTCAAGCGATTCCATCAGCAGATTTGTCCAAAAGCTCCAAGCACACTACAGGCTACCTCCAGCAACTTCCCTGCATCATCCAATCAGAAGAGATAAAATGTTAAGTCAACTGACAGCAAATTCATTGGACCACTAGTATTGTGCATAAAAGAAAACAACTCACAACCAAGACGATAATTGAAGCATGAGAATTCAGCGACCCTGAATGTGGATCTTATAATCAATTCTACTATGTAAGTTGAAGGAATCAAAATGTGAAGCGCAGAAAGAGACATGCCAGTTGACTAAAATATGAGATAGATATATATCTGAAGAGGCATAAAAGATATGATCCAACAACTAAATCGAGGGTGTAAAATGGTCACCCAGACTGTTGCGGAACCTGATTCACGGAGGGTGGGTTCGCGGGATATGATTCATATGAATCACAGACTGGCGTCATGATTTCTTCATCGTTTATTGATCAATCACATGGGCATGTTGGGATGAGGGAACCGACTCCTTGGGATAAGAAAAATCATTCAAGCAACTAAACTACTGTTAACTACACGGTCTCGAAATGGTGTCATAACCTAGAACATCTTTTACAAATTATAATAGTACAAAATGTAATATTTTATAAAATTTTACAAAAAATAATATGCCATGATATGAAACGGGGTGGTGGGTTGTGGATGAGAGGAGTATATTCACCCCGTCCCAACCTTCAACTCGGCAAATGCCTCGCGACTTCTACAGTCAAGGGCCTCCCAACCATGCCAAAGGCCAGTTGGCCTAGTGGCACCTTAGCCACCCCTAAATGAGAGGGATGGCGGTTTCGAATCCTGGGTAGGTGTGAGTGGGGAAGCATTCTTCCGAGGGAGTGTAATGTGTCCTTAAAGCAAAAGGAGGGGGAAAAAAAAGACCTCCCAAGCATGAGCAATCCTTGGTCTAAGGCGCAGGACTTTATACATCTCGCTTGTCTAAGGCGGCAGTACACACTTCCTCTGATTTTATTTATCAGATAGAAAAGGAAATTCTTTTTATCCTACCTACAAATTACTTCCCCAAATTTTTATTATAAATTTCTCTATTTGAATATTTGGCCTATATTAAATATTAGAGGAAAAAAAAGTTAATAAAATATGTATATTTAATATAGATAAAATTAAAAATATATTAAATTCCTAAATGTTAACAAGTTTTAAAATTTATATTGTCTCACCGTGAAACATTAGATTACTCCACCTTTCCAGAAATTATACGCCTGGCAAAATCAAAGCTACAATCTCAGCGCACCCAACAAGAAAGCTCCGTGATCATCAATTCTGTTAGGATCACTACTTGCCCCTGTCAAATTCATTATACTTGTCTAGAATTCAATCCTCAATTATTTCCTAAACACGCGCGCGCGATTGGCTAACTGCCCTTGAAGGTTAAGTCAGAAACGCATGAGCAATTGATAATACAAACAAATAAAACAAGCATTCAGAACAGGGAAAAAGAAGCAAAGGAAAATCCGATCGTAGAGAGAACCACTATACCTCTTCTTGGTTTGGTCGCAACTTTAACAGCAGGGGGTGCTCTGCGCTGTGTCTTAGGCTCCTCCTCTTGGGGGAAAAGAACTCCATCAATGCCCTGCACCGAAATTCGGCCGTCCGTGTATATATCAGGATCGAACAGATACGCTGACCCTTCACCCTGCCCGAATTTCACAGACCCATCCGCCTCCTGAGCCACGACCCTGTGCGGCAACCGCAGGGTATCGTACCGGACCTTCCCAAACCTCCTGACGGCATTGTACATACTCTCTTCGGTTTGATACTCCGGGATGATATGATAGTATATTATCTGCTCCGGTGCGCCCGGTTCACTCAATTGGTCTGTGGTTAACTTGGCCATGGCCTCGTCGTTGGGAGCCAACACGGTCAAGACGTACCCCTCTGAGACTAACCTTCCCATCTCGGCGGCTAAAGATGTTAAGTTCACCAGAATATCGGCCATTTCATTGTACCCGCCGTAATGCAAGAGCGTATGGATGAAGTCCTTAACCTGGCGCTCTCCATTAAAGTGGTGGTGGGGACCACCGGGGCCGGGTGCCGGGGCCGGAGCTAGCGAAGGACCTGGCGCCATGGCGTCGTAAATTGGCAGTACCGGTGGAGCCCCCACGGGTACAGGTGCGGGTTTCTTCAAACGATGAGTCCTGGAATCGACCTCCGGCGCACCCTCCGGCAGCACCGCCGAGATATCCCGCAGATTCCTCCTGCGATTAAAATCCTCTTGGACCGATCGAGGAATCAACAACCGCTCAATCCCGTGAATGACGCCATCGGGGCGAACAACGTCGTCGAGGCGAACAATCTCGGCCAAGTCAACAACCTTCTTCCCAGAGCCCTTGCTCATTATATGCAAGTGGTCGTCGCTGAGGGTCCGGTGCCGAGCGGAGGCGGTTTTTCCAGAGGGCCATTCACGGGATCCGATTCGTTTGGGAACAATGTGAAACATCAAAAGGGTCTGCAGGGACCTCAAATTGCGGGGCTCCAGCAAGAAGCGCTTAAACTCGGGGTCAAGCTGACGCTCAAGAGCGTCATTTCGGGGGGCGAAAATGGTAATATTATGGAAGGCGACGGCGCCCTCGAGCTTGGGCAAGAGAAGCGCCTTCTCGACAAGCTCAGCGAGCTCGGTGTAATGGGAATCTAGAAGGGCAACGAGAACCGAATTGGAGTTGATCTGAGAGGAAGATGGAGGAGAAGGAGGATTGAAGGTGGGAGTGTGAGGCAATGCAATAAGAAGAGGTAAAAGAGTGAGAAAGTGCAGGAGGAAGAGGGTAGAGACACCATAGAGAGGAGGATCCATGGTGCTCAGGAAGAGGAAGGGAGAGGGATTATTGGTGGAGACGGGGACTTGACCCCGTGGGCTGAGACTGAAAAAGCGAAGCCAGTTTAGTGGAAGACAGATAGAGAGAGGGAGGGTAGAAATTGGACAGCCTGGATGATGGGACCCACGCGGGCGAGTTAAGTGAAGAGAAGCTATCATCAGCCGCCACCTGTTTCTCGTTTGCGATCGCCGCCCCACACCCCCCCCCTACCCGACTCCCTGCTATTCGCTATTTGCTAGTTGCTCCAGTGCTTGATGCTACAGAGTACAGATGCTATTTTTCCTGCATCGCTGATTCACTGTTTACACTTTTTATTAAAACCTTTTTAATTAAATTTCATTCTTCATTAAAATAATTATTTATTTTTAAATTAATTTTATTTTTTATATTTATTTTTATTAAATATTTTATAATAAATATAAAATTATTCATTAATAGAAACGCTTTAAAAAAAATAATTATATCTTAAAAAATTAAAAATATCTTATATTTTTAAATGAATGTGTATCAATTAAATAAACACATTATTTTACTTTTTGGATGTATTTAAATTTGAGAATGTTTTCTATCTTTAAAAAAACTGTCAGAAAATATTAATCGAACAATGTTTTTTAACAGTTATTATTACATTGATCAGATGTTATAATCGAGTGGTGGTTTGGCACGTGAATTAAAAAATAATAAAAATTAATTCATGCGTGGATGATCTTTTATATGTTAAGTGAACGGATAAGAATCACAATTTTTGTAAGGGAGAGAAGAAGGAAAAAAAAAAGAGGAAAGAAATCATTTATGCTAATTAGCTTGAGAGCGAGACTATGCAATACGCCAATACGAGAGGTGTGTTGTAATTAAATTGCTGACAGTGCCATCGTGAATAGTGATGAAAGAGGCAAGTTAGCGTGATCGCGAGAAGAGAAAACCGTAGACGCGATTTGTTTGTCAACAACACAAATATTAAAGCCCCGTATAATGATCAGTAGTGCGCGTGAGTCGCTGGATTAAGAGCCAGGCTCGAGCAACTTGAGGAAACTCGCACCAACTCTATCTGCACGTAATGACCAAACCGCATTCATACATACCATTACCAACAATTAAAATCGAATAAGGGAAAAGAAATATGGGAATAATGATATTATGAAGGGAGACCTAATAACAGGTGCGATTCTTTACCAAAATGATTAAATACTGATAGTGAACACCATCAGGATAAACATTTAAAAAGCAGCAGCGAGAGAAGGACGGGCAAAACATTTATTGATTTTAAATGAAGCGGCAGAACGAAGAGGAGCGATAAATCATAAATATATAAAACAAAGGAAAGTGTTGATCAAGGAAGACGGAACACAGAGATCATCAAAAATCATATGACCACGCGGAAGAACCACGTCAACCATCAAATAGTTACTTTCTACTTTTTAAATTATAAGATATTACTGGAGAAGTTGTCATTTTTTAAAATATAAGATAATTTAATAAAGATAAAATTTTATTAATAATATTTTTAAATATTGCTCTTCAAATAATTGTAGATTTAAAGTTATATTAAATTAAATATATTTTTAAAAATTTATATTTTAATTTTAAAAAAATATATTTATAAAGTATCATTATTAAATTTTATTAGTATGTATAATATTATTTTAAATTATTTTATAATTTGGAACAAAAAATGTATGACATAATATTTTTAAACTTGTAGTTGTTTTGCTTGTCAAGGCATTCCTCTTATGATGTGTTTGATTGAAAGATTTGGAAGAGAAGGAAGTAGAGGAAAAATGCTCCCTTTTCCCCACTTTGCTGAGAAATTTTGGAACTTAGGGGAGTCAAAAAATTCCCTTTCAATTCGTTACCTAACTGATGTTGAAAGTTGTGCTGAGGATCAATCACTGTATTATAGACATTATTATCTAATAAATTTTTTTTATTATATTAATTACATGTTCACTATAATAACTATATCCTTAGACAAACTATAATGATTATCTTAAATATCCTTGGTCGGTCATCCATAAAGGATTATAGATGAAACAAAACTTATATAATTTGGATTAATTATAGAGATATAAATTAAAATCGTAAGTAATTGAAAGGGTGCAAGATACTAAACTAACCCGTTATAAGAAAGCTGTATGGTACAAATCATAAACTTATCTTATATGTAAATGAGTTTCTAAGCCTTTCAACCTAAGATCATTATAGATTTCTGCGTCATGACCACTAAACTTTGACCCAATTAAAAGTTACTTTTAATTGGGCGACCATAAAGGCTATGATTAAATTTAATAATATTCGTGTAGAGGAATATAAATAGTCAAAATAAAATTTATCTCTCATATTAATTGAGAGATATTAACAGGGTTCTTGATGAGTAAAAAAAATGTATGGCCATGTTATAATAAAAAGAATTTTTTCATTATTATAATCAGTCCACTTAAAAATTGAGAAAGAATGGTCAAGTGAAGGAGACTGATAATTTCATAACATTCACTTGATCAAAAATATCACATGATAAGAGAAATATGATACGGTTATGTAATAAGTTACATCAAATCATTAATCCCTGTGTGAATTGGATTGCTAGTCACAATGTTTTGTCAGAAGTGACTTGTAACTTGTGCGCTAGTATCATTATTTACCTACTACCAATTCTATATGGGCTTATAAGATTACACACAAGAACAACTCAACTTGAACTATAATATATGAGTTTATTAAATTGAAAATGTGTTTGAATTTAATAAATGTAATGTTTATCCGGAGTGAACAAATTATACATATATATTTATTTATTTATATAAAATATAAAATATAATATTCTATATATTTGAAATATATATATATATATATGATATATATTATTTGTATTTATATATTATCTATTATATTATATTGTGTTAGTTTCAAACTTAGTTTTATATGATATATTAAACTTAATAACTAACATAATATTAGAGGACATTATATGAGTTCTATATTTAAAATTTATAAGATAAATACAAAAAAGATATGATATTATAAATTTAATTTATAAGATAAATTAAATTCTATCTTCGCTATCTCGAGATATAATCTTTGAAATAATTATGATTATTTTTAAAAATTTAAAAAGGAAGACAAAAATATTAATCTATATATAATATAGAGAGGGACACGTTTCTAAAGAGTGATAAAGAGTTCTAATGGTAGAGCACAGCAAGAGCCACAAAAATACTTTAGAGAAAAAGAAAAATTTAACTTTTAAAAGAATGAACGAATGTTTGGAGCGCTAACATACTTTCTTATTTATAGTTGTTCTTATAGATATCGATAGAGAGAGTTGATATGCATTATCAACTGTTGAGATTCAAATGCTTGAGGAAAACTTGAAAATTCGATATATAAAAAAAAAGACACTTCTTCTATTCACTTTGATTTAAATAAATTTGATTAGTCTATAATCATAATTAAATTTCTAAATTTAAATTTTTATTTTTGCTCCTAATCCAACAGCTAAATCTTGCCGTCATACTTCTCCCTTGAGGTGAGTTTCACTTTGTCATTCCCTACCTTTCCTCCGCAACTTGAATCCGAATGCATGGACTAATTCTATGAGAGCAACGAACCATTAGCTGTCCCGAAAGGACCAAAACGGCCCAATCAATGCCATCACGAGCCTTGCTGCTGTCAAAAATAGCATCAGCACTGATCCGACCTCTTTAATCTTTATTGTATATGTCCATATCTATTGGGCCACGTGTTAATATATAAATAGTATGCCGTGTATTTTGAAAATGGGCCGCGTTTATTTGTCTGACGCAGGACATGATTAATCACATTCCATGCCATCGAATAAGAGGCACGAATTAAAGAAGAAGGACCTTGCAATTGGTTGCAAGGCCAAAAGTTTCTAAGTGTATTTGATGAACATTCTCTAACCTTGTTACTTTCCTTTTTGTATTGCCCTGTCATGACATTTTATCTCAAATGTCCTTTGGCTATCGTTTGGAGTCGCCACTCCCCAGCTACCTCCCTCCTCTGTTGAGACTTGACACACATTTTAATTTAGTAACTATTGATATATTTCTGTTTTAATTCAAAATAAAAATAAATCACTATACAATATACACATTTCACCAAAAAATGACATATTACATATCGCATTTATTTGCATTTATTTCCTTGCAAGCAACCCAGCAGGTCCTTTTTTTTAAAAAAAAAAAGCAGCTAAATAATTTGTGGCCTGCAAAATCCGAATAAAATAGCACCATACAAGTGAGGAAATTGGGAAGTCACGCATAACGCGTCTCTATCCGTGAGCTTGTTGCTTGTGAATATAAAGAGAATCAGCTTTTGAGAAAGGAGGAGATATTTTTCTTTTTCTTTTTAGCCGAAAGTACTATTTGAGTGAATCTCAATTTTAACTCGTGTCTGGCCTGAGAGTGATCAGGCCTTAGAGGCCTCGCAGTCTCACATGTCAATCCCAGCACCTGAAGCAGATGATATGTATATAAATATATAGATACCATTCCAATTTGATTATCCCAAAAATGGACCACTAACCATAGTCCATATTCCACGCACGCACCTGTTAATGGACAGAGGATATCTTCCTTCCTTTCTTTTTCTAATCCGGCAACGCAACTACTGTTACTTGTCTATCACAAAATTTATAACGTTCCTAAAATTTCACTCTCTCACGTAAAAGTATCAAACGTTCAATATTATAATAACATGTTCCAAATTTTAAACAGTATTTTGAGCGTAACATAAAAAAAATATTAAGACTGATTTTTTGTTGTTGTTGCTAGCCATAGAGTGATTTCCCCACCATTCTTGTTAATGATTTAAGAAATTAAAACCCTGCAATATAAAATCGTGCGACGTAACCTTAGTATATCTTGGCACGAGTGGTGGGGCCGAAATATTGGGGCAGTTGCACCAAGAAAACGACTCGGCGCAATTTGCAAGAGACAATACGGAACATCGTCCTGGTACCCCGTCACACGCAAGCGGGGACTTCCCTGTTTCTTTACAAGATGCTTGGCAGGCATACAAGTCCTGTTCAAAAAGTAATTGAAAGAGAGAAAGCTAGACTTGTTAGGTAAATTAAAAATTAGTGACACGTATTATAATCGCCGTTGACAAAACAGGTTTTCCGAGAAACCTCTTTTTTATACTTTTTCTCATTTCTCTATCAGATTTTTTTCCCAACATGCCAAACATTACGTAGTTTCAAGGCAAGGGGGTTAGGCCTCTCCACTGGCATATTAATAGAATTCCCCCATTTTGTCAGGAGGAATGATCCACTTAATTGCATTCTTCATTTTGTTAACCAAAATCAAATGCCACACCCTCTTCATGCTCTACCCAGCTAGCTCCCAAGTCCCAACAGCCCCACAAGTTTTCTGATTGACTTTCGTTGCATGAGTATCCAGATTCATTATATCGAAAACGATTACAAATTCATGCAGGGAGTGAACTTAAACCTATCTGATGTCATCTAGCTTTATCTTTATAGCGAGAATTGGACACTAATATAACAGGGTTACAGTGTCAGGAAACATTCCCCAACAGAAAAAAAAAAAAAAACAACAACTTCATCACTGCTTCCATATTTCCATTGGATTGTCAATTCTCCACAAACATAACAATAGTCTACCCACCACAGCCCATTACTGTTTGGAAAAAAATTACCTTTCCACACAAGAAAACAAAATTTTGCCACCGCAGTGTCCCACGATGGAGTCGGTGTCTCCCAGTGGTCTCACAAATTCAAGGGGGAAATTGTACTTAACATACAAATCGAAATTCAATGGCATCGCACTCATCAACAAGTTGGACGAACACCTGCATCTCAATAAAAGACAGGGATTCAGTTTAACCTCGCTTACTTCATTCATCATTCATGCCCTCAATTCAATATCAGCACCAAAACAAAAGAACATCAAATCCTGATTTCTTCCCCTGTTTGACCGCAACCACCTCTTAGAAACTAAAGAAAATTTCACAGTATATTTCTTAGGGTCGTGGATGTAGCTTTAAACGTAGGGAACCTTGGAGATTTCCCACTTGGTAGAATTCGGGAATCTGGGTTTGGTGCTCGTGATCGTGTCGGATGATTCTCTCTGGGACGGACTTCTCCAGAACCCAGTACCGTAAAACCGTTCCCACATCTCCTTCTCCAGCTGCTGCAACTCTTTATCCATCTCCGGCGACATGTGCAGATCAGACATGTCCAGGATGCAGTTCGGGTGAATCTGGTTCTCGGTATCGTCGCAGCCGCACGAGCAACGACGGCTTTTCGGCGGCAGCATCCTCTTGCGATTTCTCCGAAGGGCACGGCGGCACAGGCCGGCGGGGACCTTATAGATGGCGAGCACGAGCAAATTAGCAACGGCGCAGGGGAAACAACAGCATATGACGGCGCATTCGGCCGTGGTTTCCCCGACGACCTCGCCGACGAAGCTTCTACTGCTCTTGAGGAGGGGTTGCTGGCGGGTGGAGGCAGCCTGGCGTAGACGGACGTTCCTGGACATGGCGGGGATTCTCGAAGGGAATAGCGAGAAGAAAACAGGGGAGGCAGGGAAGACCAAGAAGCGCGCCCTGAGGGAAGAAAAATCAGAGAGCAGGAGTCTTGGCCTCCACGTTGGGAGAAGGAGACGATGGGTTGGGAAACGAAAGAGAGAATGGGAAGAAGACGAGAGGTGAGAGAGGGATTTGAAGATGCGGAAGAGGCACTTCCCCAATATAGTCTGCTACGTTTTTGGCTTTCCCGTGCCTGCCAGGACCAGACTCGAACGCGAGAGACTCTCTCGGGCTTCTTCGCGTCTGCCGTTGAATTGGCACATTGCTTCTTTATAGTCTTTTCCTATTTGCCAGCACACTCGTTTCTTGCTTGATTTCACCCCTCACCTGCCCCTTGCCCCCATGGTTTAGAAAATATTCTTATAAAATTATTAGTAATCAGTATTATAATTAGCTTCCAACTCCATATGATCAAAGTTTTTAAATTCCTGAGTTTCAATAAACTCGTGAACAAAAGATATACTCCTAACATAGACTCGTAACATAAAATCATAAGAATTTATCTTTATTTATAAATTATTAATGAAATATTTTTATTTTAAAACTTATATATTATATTAAATAAAGTGATCAATACCAATTTTGAAATTAAAATTAATGTTTTTAAGAAATAAAAATAAGGTAAAGTATTGATAGTAATAAATAATATTTTTTAAGCTAATATTGATTTCTTTTCCCTCTGTAAAATTATTTATCCAGCTGGTATATGAAGTGGGAGATCTTAGAAAATAAAAAAATAAATTAAAATAATTTTAAAAAAAGTAAAATATATAAAAAAAAACTAGTCAAAAGTGACACTAAAATCGTATAAGAAAATAAAAATTTGAATTAGACGCGGTGCTATTCTGAAAATGGTCAAATCACTCCATTGCAGGAATGGTAGAAAATTAATGTAAGGTTACATCATGAGCTCGGCCCAGCAACTCGAGTCAACCACAATTGAGTTACGGATTGCCATGAAAGATAATGCGAGTGCGATCATGTTCCAAGTTTTTCAATGAGTTGACTAGATTTTATAGTGTGATAACGCTAACTCGGTGAGTCAAGCGAGTTAACTCACCCTTTTAACAATTTTGCATGTGATTGCCCTTTGGCCTTTTAAATCACTTGATTGATTTTTAAAAATTATTTAGATTGTGATTCTTGAATGCGATTCCCCCCTTATTTGTAATCACTTTTATTGAGTAATAGATAGAAGGGCCAACGGAGCCACTAATATTGGGTGACGATTAGTTAATTCTTATTATTTCATAGCCAGAGCAATTCATGTGCAGATATTTTTGTCATTTCTTGCATGAAATTTTACATTTTATATTTAAAACATGATCAGTCTTAATATATATATATGTATGTATGTATGTATGTATAAGAAATAGTAAATCATAATTAATTAACCATGACTTATAAGAAATTAATAACTATTTATAAGAACTTAGATATGCCTTATTTCCTGCAGAAAATTTGAAATTAAAGCAGTATATTGTATGATCCCCTGCTGCAATTTTGAATTAAGAAACGGCTAAGAGAAAACGTCTTGGTTCTACTACTGTTGTTAATTCCAAGTGCAGGGGCTAATTGAAAGACTTGCTTTTAATTCTTTAATCTACTTTTTGTCTTTTACATTTATCTTTTAATACTATTTTCATTCATTGCGTATATTAATAGGGGTAACTTCCAATATAAAAGATTAAAGAGTGTATTTTAATTTGATAAAACCAGCACACATGTTTAACAAATAACTCACGAAACTAACTCCCCCGTGCCCCATGGGGCCGACTCATACCAACTCTCACCTTAAACTTGAAAGCGTAGAACTGTATGCTCTCACATCAATGAAATTTAAGCCTTGTAGATGGGGCTAGTTTTTTAAAATGTGATGTATCAGAGTTCAAATTTCCATTAAAAAAAGTGTTCATACTCATGCTGTGCTTGGTAAAAGACAAAAGTAGGGAGAAAATGATTTTTCTTCCTTGGCTAAGGAGAAAAAAATAAAAAGGAAAGAAAACTGGGAGGAAATAATTTTCACATGTTTTTACGTCTAATTTTTTTCTCCAAATATGGAGAGATTTTGGAGAAAAAACTCAAATTTTAAATTTACACATTAATCTTTTCATTTCTTGTTGGTTGCTTCCCTCCACTTTCATCCTGATTTTTTTTTGTTGGACGAGATAATTTTTTTTTTTGTTAGCATCGGATAAAACAATTTACAATTATATTTTTATTCAATCAATAAGATATAATAACAGTTATAAAAATAATATGTTAAAATATTAAATTTATTATATATAAATCTTTTTTTACAAATAACAAGATTATTATTATTCATATGAAATTAATATTTTTTTTCTCATTTTTCTTGCTCAACCAAACAAAGGGCTGTCTCCACTTTCTCTTTTTCCTATGTTTTTTGTGAGCCAAACATATGATTAATATATGATTATATCTTGAATAAGATTATCTTCAATAAAAGAACATCTGTATGAAAAAAAAAAGAAGAAATATACTCTCTCCGTCTCAAATTATAAAATACTTTTAAAAGTAATTTGTCGTCTCAAAATATTAGACACTTTGAGAAAACTAATGTTTCATTAGATAGACTTATTCTAATATTACATTTTATCTCTCTCTATTTAATATTAATTAAATGTAGATTCAAAGTTGTTAAATGATAGATATTTTAAAAAGTTTATATTTTTATTTTGAAAAGATAAAATTATTAAGTATATTTAATGAAATTTATTAATATATAAAATTTTATTTAAAAATATTTTATAATATTTTATAATTTAAAATGAAGGAGTACGTTCTTCCGCTGACTTAAAAGCGCTCAAGCCGTCGGGAATGACTCGGTCAAATGGACGCCACTCAGTGAAGGGCAAGCGCATGGTTAGACTTTGTCGGAAGATATCGCCGTATCTATCTTTATTATTCAATTCTTAAATGGCGTCATACCTGCGTGTTGAACTCTTTAATAAGGCCTTGTTATTATTATTATTTTTTCGTAGAAGGCCATGGAGTTAACCGTGCAAATATACAATCTAAATCTCATCAATATATAGAACATTCATATAATTAGAGGGTGAATTATTAAAAATTTAAACATTTAAAATGTCGATAGATGTTAAATGAGCTATGTAATTGATATATTTATTAACTTCTCTAAAGATATAATCAGAGGTGGCTATCCAATCTCTTATAATAAATTCTCTAATATTATTGATGGTTGCAGCAAGAAAATAATTAATAAAAAACTCTTTGCATATTAGTGTGAGTGTCTCTGTAAAGTTAAAGTAGATATTAATTTTGCTAAACTTCATTGCCAACAAATGTTGAGGCCTTCTAAGATGTCCATAAATTCAACTGCCATACTTGGTTGGTAACTGATATATTCAGTAAAGTCTTTGATCTAGTTGCTTTGATCATTTCAGATGAGACCTCCGCAAGAAGCTGCACCCTGATTGTTAATAGAGTCGTTTGTACCAAATTTAGCCCAATCTTTTTTTGGAGAGCACCATTTCATTATAGATCTATTATTTTGTTAGGTTAAGAAGTTGATTCTAAATTGAAGATATTGATCATTATGAGTGTCTTGAATGTTAGTGAATGCAATGTCTCTGTCAGGTATGTGCGAGTGTGAAAATTATGATCCAACATCCGCACCTCTTTACTCATATCACCTGCACGTCGTCTGGGTCCAGTTTAGGCTTCCTTATTTTATTCCCACTATTTTGTTGTATATATGGACTCCACATTAATGGTTTTAACTACATTAATTTGGCTACTCGATATACACTTCAAAATCAACGCACGCAAACTCCACGCCCATGTCATCAGTATGCATTTTATCTTTTTAAGTAGCAACAATTAGTTGAATTTTACAGTAGTATAATTATTCACGTCTTTAAATGATCTGGATATATATATATATATATATCCCTTTTCATTAAAGGATCGTTGTTGCATTAACCAATAACCAATACTAATTTTTTTTTTTTGCTGGTGACATACATACATGCATGTATATATATATGTTAAATGAAAATGAGAACTGGATGTGGTTTAACAAAATGCTCCAGGTATAAAACGCTGCTGAAATTACTCATGTACTCTTTTCATTAAAAAATGTAAGATATTTTTAGTTTTTTAAAATGTAATCATTATCTTTTTTTAAAAGTATCTCTTTTAATGAATGATTTTCTATTTATTGTACGGTATTTGATAAAAATAAATATAAAAATATATAATTAGATTAAAAGTAGGCAATTATTTTGTTAAGAAATAAAATTTAATTAAAAATATTTTATATTTTTTTTAGCAAAGAAAGTATTGAGGAGCTCTCGTGACATTCGTGGAGGGAACTAAACCATGCATGCATGTCTAATAGGCCGAAATATCTGTGACATGCGGTGTTTGGAGCAAAGACAATCACAACTATTATTTTAAACCAGAACACCCTCCCGCAAAACAAAAAAAAAAATCATTGTTTTATCGCACAATTCAAGTAAGCCACGTGCCTTTAAAAAAAGTCAAGAAAACTTTAAAAGAAGGAGACACTACAAAAAGATGTTAAAATAGAGACAAAGAGACGGCCTAATTAATAGAGACCAAAATAAAAATAAATTAAATTTTAAAAAATATTTTAAAATATAGAGACATAGTTAAAGACAACTTATATACATCTCTAAAAAAAAGTCTCTCAAAATCCGTTTTGACTTTTATCATTATTAATCAAAAATTTAATTTTTAAATAATTAAAATGTTAGAAATAAGTTTAGAGATGAATAAATTTCATCTCTAAATTAACCATCTCTAAACCCATCTCTAATATTATTTTTATATTTTTTAAATTTATAAATTACATTTGAAACATATTTTTTTATGAATTTAGAGACAAAAATTTAGCCATCTCTAATTCCATTTCTATATTTCTTTAAAATTTTATAATTTTATTTTTCTTAGTTTAGAACAGAATTAGAGATGACTGAAATAAATATATTAGAGATAAAATTATTTTTATTTCTTAATGTGTTTGTAATTCAAAGTAGATACAGATTTAGAGATGGAATTATATTTTTAATTTTTAGATTATCAATTATTTCAATACATGTTTGAAATATATTAAAATATAAATTAATTTTAAAAAATGTAGAAAAAATTTTACCATTGTTTGGTGAGTTTTCCATTCAATGAAAACAACAAAAATTTGATATTTGTGTTCAAAAATATTTATTTTCATAATTTATAAAGTGTCTAAAA